AGCGCGCAAAATCCAAAGTAGCAGCTTCTAGGGTGCTAGGTAGCTGCATTGTCCATTCCTAAGCCTGACTTGAGCAACCAAAGCTTTCACAAAGCACCGCTTCCAAGGCATCTGCACTCAATCTGTTCTTTTCCACCTGCGCCTTGCGCTGCGCTTCTGCCTCAGTCGTGCACCCCCGAGGCACCTTCCAACCCATCCGTATTTAGATCAAGCGCATGCCATTCGGATATATTGTCATTATTTCATATTTCGATATATTTCATCTATGGCGGGATGTCTGCAACTAGTGCAGTGCCCATGCAAAACCTCTACCACATTGGGAGCTGTGATTTCAACAAGCGCCGCAAACTGACTCTCTCGGGACCCAAACCAATGCTGCTTCTGCTGCGGGATTTGCTCGACCATTGGTGCGAGTGTCCTGCACACCCGCCTCAGCGAACAACACGGGCAGGTCGGAAGGAAAGATACCGATCGATGTGAATTCTCCAAACCGACTGATGTATAGGAAGTTCATACCTAATATAACGCAATATATATATATATATATACGCACACACACCAAAAAATATATAAGCAAAACGAGCATTTGGAATCACTAAGTGATAACCGGAACTTGGTATAAACAGCCTGTGTGTCTTCGACCATACTTCTGTCTCACAGACATGCATGTTTCAGAATTTTACTGACCCTGTCTAGTGTAAATGATTTATGATCTGTTTAAAAAGACTTCAGCTTACGCAGCTTATGCAACTCCTATCTCCCACAAACAGCTTACGCAACCTTACGCGCATCAGTGGTTTGCTTACGCGGAACATTCATATGACAAGCACACCACTAAACATGAATAGGGAGGTTTATAGAGTGGCTCCCACTTGAGTTTTGATAATGCAGCTAGGGTATGTGGGATCGGCAATTTAAGCCTGACAAGCACTGGTTCTTCTCTTGCCCTGGTTCTCACCTGGCGCATGCTGTCCTATTTGCTCCCAAGTCCACGGTCAATTCTCTGAAGTCAAACCAGGGAGAAAATATCGAGGATTTGGGGCTCCGGGTCAAAAGACCCACAGCTAACCACTGCTAACCACCTCCAGGTGGGAGCCCTTCACTTCAGTCATCACTTCACTGAGACCCTCGCAGTAGCAGCCGCCTGACCGGACACACGGCTGATTCAGCACGCGGAAGAAAAGAGGTGACTCGTAGGACCAAGCAAGTGGAAGGAATACTGCTTGCGGTCAATAGAGGAAAGGATGACAAACGTTGCCAAAATAGTGTTCGGCTCATGGCTGCAGATTCATCTTGAAGGGTCCTCCAAACTGAAGAAATCTAAGAGGCACTGCAACCGTTCTCCAACCAAAAAACTGCCGACCTCGTCCCGCAACTGCTCTGCCCCATACTTCTGCAGCTTGTCACGCCACGCTTTGGTGTAGTCATCCACTGCCTTCGCTTTGGACACATCGATGTGAGGATTTGGTGTGCCGATGTGACAGTGCACTTCTGAGGAGTAGCTACTTCTTCCTCCACACCATTCTTGAAAATACACATCCTCGTCTGTAGTAACGAGGGCGGAAACATAACCTTCCGCAACGAGGGTGGAACGCTGGATTTTACAAAATTCCTTGGGGAAATACCGGTGTGAGGTTGCATAGAATCTTGATGCCCAATGGGCGTTTTGGTGGGATAATCAAACATAAAATCCTTTAAATTCTTTGTGATGCTTTCCTGTGTTGAGGTGAACCTTAAAAACGTATCTTTTGGCCCTGACCTTGATCCTCGATATTATGCTGTCTCCCTGGGGACAGGAAAAATTAGCCGATGCCAAACGGAAAATCACAAACTATCAACCAGTTCTTGATATTTTTAGTAGCAAGAAGCTACTAGCAACAAGGGGCATCGCTACGTTCGGAGCAAGGACGCTACTAGTGGCTCCTGGCATCGCTACTAGTAACAAGATTGCATTCATCGACTGTGGTTCCGGGCCAAAGCCTTCCCAAGCCCTCCCCTCCATGTCAGTGTCAGGTGGTCAACTCACTGAGCATCTGGCTGCTGGATCACCTCGCTGTACTGCGGTCCACTCCTTCTCCTGATGCGAAGAACACGTCTCAAACGATCCCTCATCAGCCTGGATTCCGCTGGGGTCCCCGGACCTCCCCATCTTTGAACCCTCCCCCTCTCATCCGCATGGAGGCCGGAGGCTCGCGTGGAAGTCAGTACCACCAAAACACCAGAAAGGTGAAGACCACGCCCGGGCGAGGGCCGGGGTATTAGGATGATCCTGGATGCGATGAATCAGAAAACATCTGGCAATTTTTTTCTCCACCTGATCCTTCAAATCTGCTCTGTTTCCATCTGTTTCCCAGTGTCCCCAAAGCGCTGCTCCTGCTTTTCCTCTTGCTCTTGTCGCTCACGCTCCTCTCTCTCGATTCGTGCCTCGGGTGGGTTTCGATGGAGAACCCGGCATTTGAACCGTGGCTGATCGATGTAGACTCGTCGGACACCGGCCACGACTGAACAACAGAGTAAGTCATTGAAAGAACAGAAAGTCACAGGATACGTCAGGATCGTCAGGATACTGACTGTTCAAACTCAAGTCACCTGCAACTGCATCTGGTAAGGTGATGTCTGCATACCAAACTGCAAGCAAGCGTGTTCTAGGCTCCCCAAGGGCAAGGCAGCTCATCACTGGGAATTTGGATGCCTTAGACATCCTTAGACCATTCCTGGTCGAGAAGCAATCGCCAACTTCCTTTGCTGCGTCAGGAATTCCCTTCGGTCAGGCTCTACCGCGTTCTGCAAGCGGACTTGCTCCTGTGAAAAAGCCAAGGCGTGACACATGGCTGCAAAAAACAACAAGCTTGTAACTACCACTGCTATCTATGACTGTTCCTGTAGTGCTCGTTGCCGGCAACAAAGCTCGATCCAGTTCCATGCTCGTCCCACACCATCCGTGACAAACGCATCTCTTTGTTTATAATTGTTTTTCAATGGTTTTCATATATGCATAATGTATGCAACACTTCCGACTGCTAAGCCGCTAAGCAAATCAGCAAACTGGCACTTGATGCGCTGGAAACGAAACATCCTTACAGAGCAGGACAGTTCTGGAAGTTCCACAGCCTCCCGGAGCCTTCGCTCCACAAGAGCCTTGCCTGGAAATGGTCCCGCTTGGCTTGTTGTAAGGCCTCCGTTCTGAACAAAGCAGCGACGACGCTTTTGTCACTTCGCGCGCGCAGGCAGTGGGACTCACATCTCGGGTGGAGACTCACATCTCGGGTGCGACATGCCCACAGCACACCCACATCGGTGAGATGGTGAGTGTTCTTAGTAAACATGGTAGCTATTTAAGTTGACCTACATTGATATGGCCGGCTGGAGGACCTCGTGCGATCGATCTCACGTGTGTTGCACGTTCAATGAAGACCCAGACCATCCGGAAGGGGTCCTAAGGGCCCAACGCCTGTCTTGCTCGACGGACCCAAGCACATCATTTGACCTCCAAAGCCTCTCTTCCTCACCCTCCACAAAACATGCTCCTTGAAACATTGAGGGTTCTCCTCCTTCTGTGCCCAGTTCCAACCAAACCCAGTTCCCACCGACCCACCCAGTTTGCCTGCAAGCCGCCCTCTGCCCAAGCAGCGCTGGATTTCCGCTCCTGGGGGGGGTTCCGCAGCAGGAAGGTCGGATCGCGACTGGTTCATCGGAAAGAGAAAGCAGAACTTGATGCAATGTCAGAGATGCAGTTCTTGTGCAGTTCTGATGAGTCCCGTTTTGAAACAAAGCATCTGAATTAAATCCAGGAGAATCCCAGTGCTTACCTGGCCTTTCCGAGAAAAAGATCAGAAGAACTATCGCTGCAAAAAAATGGACCGGCAGAAGGGTCGTGACCAGAGTCGACCGTGGGTTTCAGGGCTCCGTCTTTTCATCAGGAGGCGCTTTAATAGGGGTAAAGGTAAAGGTCACCCACCTCCCCTGGAAATGAGTGTGGCCCCCATGTGCTTTCTACATGGCAAGACTTCCAATATTTCAATCTCGAAGACCTCAAAGAGGAAATTCCAATCAGATCATTCAGTCTGTCTCGTTAAGCTCGAGATGATTAGCAATGATTAGCCTTCTACGACGCACAGCGTAGAGTTCTCAATGTCAGGGAAGCCCTGCATGCACTAGGAGTATCTAGGCGTCTTAGTGCATCCATGTACTTCGCTAGATGGCTGTCTTGTGCCATGCCCGGATCCAAACAGGCCTGGATACCATTCCCAACTACACCCAGCCCAACACTCACCCTGCCCCGTCCACGGGGAAGATGGGGCGCTCGTCCAAGTATCGGAGCCTCCGTTGTCGCGAGTCCAGGCGAGTTCACTTTAACAAAGCCTCGAAGGTCCTGATGGAAGTGGGCGTCCTGGCCTCCTGGAATACAACGTGCTCCTCTACAAACAGGAGCTTGTCCACTTCCATGTTTTGTTGGGGTAGGGTAACCTGTTTAAGAAAAACAAATGATTCGAAGATATTCGAAGGATATTTCATGTCCATGACATATCATGACCAGCATATTTGAACAAATCTTGAAACTTGCTTTGTTTTCTGATGACGTGATGAACTGTGCTACAAATCTGAACCGAAAAAATGGAATGATAGGGGTCACTTCGCCCAAAAGTCACCCTATGAACTACCGGCTCATCAAAGCTGACCCGCAAATGGAGAAATACGACCTAGTACAACAGTTGGTAGCTTGAATAAGGGGTAGCTAAGCTACCAGTGATTGTTGCACTTGTTGACGGCAACGAGGTGTCAGCTTATGCTTGTAAGTTTCTGGATGGAACAAACCTAAACAATTGCAGATGGGGATAAGTACAAACCACCTATTTGTGGCTGTACCATCACAAAACTTCTGACTTGAGCTTGATGGGACTTCATCTGACAAATCCCGGGGACATTAAAATACATTTTTAAAACAGTATAAGCATGTATTATATAAGCTATATATCAACACCATGAAGCAGGCCAACCGACCTGATTTGGCTTAGAGTTTAGGCGTCTCTCACAATCTCACGGCATCCCTATTCTCTCACGGCATCACTAGGATGTGCCATCCTACCCATATGACCGCCTATGACAACAATGAGCTGCCACCTGCGCAGCTAAGCAGTTCGAGTTCGAGGGGATATCAACAAACACGGACACGGAAGAACGCGTCACACCAAGGGATGGCGATTGAAGACCTGCCTGGTGCCAGGTGCTCTCGCTTTCCACTCACTAATCAAATATCTTATCTCATCTCCACATCATCTCCACCTAACCCAAACAGCCGCGCTGAACTCTGCACCACATCAACTGCAGTCTTTGGATGCCACCGTGCCAGCCATTTCGGCTGGGCGATGACGGCGATGGCACGAACTTGGAGCTCAGACTTTGGGAATGTCTGGCTGGTAGTAGCCCAAGTAGTTCATCCGCGTCCTCAGCCACCCAAACTAACCCAAACCCACTGATACAAATTTAATCCATTGTAGTATACATTATTAATTTAGTTCATTGATGCAATATCCAGAAATGTTTATTATACGTGTTACATGTTCACATGTTCGAAGAACAACTCTCTTTTGGAGGGATAGTCCAGTGTCAGGCCTCTAAGTGGATATCCCTGCGTCACCGTATCCCGCGAGCAGCAGGAGTTCCCAAGTTCCTTGAGTAGAGAAACCTTCCCTCATTGATCCTTTTCGTGGGATTCGATGATCTTGTAAGTACCTATATACGAGATCCCCCGAGCTGCCGAGTACGTCGTATCGCCCCAGAAAGGTGGATCTATCCAGCAAAAGGAGCTGTGCTTGGATCGATATAGACTCTAGGCTACCCGCGGCTGCCGACCTGTAACCCCCAAAATGAGAATCATCCGCAACTTGATCCAACTGGTTCAGGTCAGCGGTTGATCCAAACTTTCGACCTAGCAGGTCCGAAAAGCGTTTACCTCAACTCTTGCAGCAACAGCCATAGTGTAAACTTGGATACATGCCATTGCTAGTGCCAGTGGACGATGCTGTTAAGTGATAAGGCTGTTTTATAAGGCTTTTCTCAAAGATGGTGATAGCCTCAACGGTCGACTGGATGGGACACTCACGGAAGGAACGCCACCCTTGCTTGCAACCTTTTCCAAGTCATGATCCCCCCATAAGGACCCAAAACTAATGCAAAAACACAACTGACCACTCAAATCTGAGACCCCTCTCTTGATCTTCAAATCGGCCAAGTTTGAGCGACCGAGAACGCTGCAATCCCAGGAGCTGCTCCCCTCGTTCACCACCTCCACAGGCGCGGACGTAGTCCGAGTGCCACTTCTCCGGCAGCAACTGCTGGATGGGCACCTCGAGGAACTCGGGCTCGTCGTGTTCCAACGCTTTGTCCTTAAAGAACCCGCCCCGATGTCGACTGGCAGCTTGGAGCGTCCAGTGAAGCCGAGTCGCGACCGGACGAAGGCACCTTTTATAGGTCCTATAGGTGGAACATCGCTGGGGGGATGGTGGACATCTGCCTAGCCCGGCTACAGTGGTGAACGGAGACATCCGTCATCATCTGTCCTTGCAAGTCCAGTCTGACTCAGTAAAACCAGGTCCATATGGTCCAAACTACCTCCTTGAACAGTGTTTTTTTATTTGTTTTTGTATGACCAACTCTAGTGAGGTCTTTGACACGTAGGTCGTCATCATGTTGTAAAAAATGTAGAAAAGGTCACGCAGCAAATGATTACACCTGCATGCACTACATAAAGTTGCAGTGTATAGATAAAGTAGAATATAATACATAATATATCATAATATAACATATCTGCACCGACGGACTGACTAAGCCTTTCCCCAAAGGATAGAAGTTAGACTATATATATATATTTATATATACAATTATATACACATAGTATTACACAATGACATATAATATCATATAATGTCTTACGAACTGTACTTAGTCTTAGTCAGCTTCTGAACCACCAGTCTCTCCCCCACCTTCAACATCAAAGTCTCAAAGCTATCAATCTCCGGGAACCTCACGGCCTGCGTCTGCCGGAATGCCCCAGACTCATCGATGGCCTCCTCCGGTGGCCCGCGACACACCACCAGCTGCTGATCTCGCCAGCGGTGCACCTCACAGCGCCAGCGCTTCTGCAGGACGCCGTTCAGCTGCAGCGCGTGCCGCGTGGAGCCGACTATCGGCGACCCATCGGGCGTCTCTGTCCCCTCGTCAGGCGTCTCCGTCGCGTCGTCAGGCGTCGGGTGTTGCTTCAAGACGACCTGACTCCATTGGCGCCCGCGGGTTTGGCCGATCGTCCGGAAGTAGGCGAACTTCCCCAAGAAGGCGTGCTGCAAGCCGGAACGGCGTTCCAAGGCGCTGTCGAAAGCACAGATCTCGCGCAACTCTTCAGGGCCTTCAGGTTGGATGAAACAAGTGAATGAACAAACGGAAACACTCCATCTATTCGAATAGTTACCTACATTAGGGTCAGAACTCATGGGGTACATGTCAATGTAACTATTCCATACATGGATGGTCTGGCAAATGCCCACAAACGGTTGGTGCTTAGAATACCAGAATGGCCAACGGCGGATGACCATATTGCACCACGCGTCTCGCGTGACCCTGCCGAAAAGCGTGGCGTGCGGTCGCGGCTCCGCGGCTCCGCTCCCAGACATCCACGTGAGATGCGCAGAGCTTCACCCGTTCTGACATCAAGACGCATCCCACTCCCTGGTTGCAGTACAGCCGTAACAAGGTGGGTTACGTGGATGGCATGGTGCCGACGTTTTCGGAAGACCCATGGGAATCCCATGCCATCCTCTACAAGGTGGGGCTACGCTTGTAGAAGAAGGGTGGGAAGGTCAGTTCACCACCCAACGGATGCCACAGATATTAGAAATATAGATCCTATATAGATCGAGGTATAGAATGGTATAGAAATAGATCATAGATCCTAGAGGTGTATGGCCGATGCAATCCGATGCACCTATTCAATATTCCAACCCCGCCTAGCATTCTGGAGTCTTCGGATTCCATGTCTTGGCTCTCGCTTGGCATCTCACCTTCCAGCTCCTCTGCGAAGGCCTCCCTCGGATCGGGCATGGCGTCCGTCAAAGGCCCGCTGGCATAAACACCGGTGATCGCCAAGGGATGTGTCACCAGAAAGAGATACTCCTCAGTGTCGAACATCGAAAAATTGAAGTTGGGAAATCTTCGGTTGGAATTTTGATACTTCTCGCCAGTCCAAACGTACTCCTCGCGGTTCAGCAAATAATCGCGATCCGTGGCATTCTGATGGGTCCACTCCACCTTGGTCCAGATGGCCTGTGTCAATATCTCGGCCATCCGTCTCACAGTCAACTCCTTGGCCAAAGCCAGTTTCACCTGCCACTGTCAGAGGTAATTGAACATGTGGGGCGGGGCAAAACCATGAAAAATTGCCCTTGCCCAATCGTTCTCATGCGGCGGTCTAGTATCATTATCACAGTATCAAATGCAATTTCCTTTGCTTTTCATGACTTCTACTGGCAATCCGCACCAAAGACAAACACAAAGAACTCTCCCAAAAGCGCATCGAACATGATCGAACACCGGATGTTTGGACTGCTTCACCTGTGGCCAGGATCCTTGCGTTGCAATGCGCCGGCGAGCAGCTTCGTCTGGGACCCGACTGAGGAGGAACGCATACCTGACATGTCCCATGAGGACGCGCCATGTGGCCCCAAAGCCTCCCTTGCAGCAGCATGATCTGAGGTTGTTTTTGTTAAGGATACGATCTGTATGGCAAGTCACGAGGTTCTATAGCTCCATGATCCCAAGAATTAAAAGAAATGAGGGTCCCACAGGATTTGACCAAAATCCCTGCCGGTCCGTGTGGCTCAAACTGCCCTTTGAAGCCAGCGCGATTGAAGGGGCCCTATAGATATATTTTATAAATTAGACTCTTGATGAATAAACCCCTCCCATTTGGATATTGTAGGACCTCTTCATATTGGTGATTGAAAAAAAACACAAGAGACTACATTACAGCAACAACTTTGTTCCACAAAGGCTCCAGGTGCTCCTTACTGTCACTTCGAAGCTTCCACCTTTGCAAATTGATCGCCCAGCGCGCGACATAGGGCACCTCGTAAAACTGAAAGGATCGTTCTACCTCTGTCACTGGAGGCTGCGCGATCACAGGTGTGCAGGCTGTTTGATGTCCAGATCTCCAATCAAGCTGTTGACACTCACCCGAGCAATACGCACGGCCTTTGCAACGCCCACAAACTGTCCGAGAGGCGTCTCCACACCATGCGCATCGCGGCAGCTGCTTCTCCTCAGACCCTGCAGGCTGAGGCCCTAAGGGAATGTCTACGCGGCCCATGTGGCTCTCTGCCCTGCTTCTGGGCAACAAAAGCTGCAAAACCATTGAATGGAGCTCTGCATTGCTTCCTTCACCATCGATGAACCCACATGCTGAGGCCAACACGACGCTAGTGCATTGACCTTGGCGGATTCGGGCGGATTGGAACGACGCACGGACTCACCCGATGTGTGTTCCGATGACGGTGTACGACGGTTAGAACGGTTAGACGCGTACGGAACAGGTGTTCCGAACCACCATTGAACACAGAAGTGTAGCACTTGGATGGTAGCACAGCCCCTTCTTCACTGTCCTTCATGCCTTGCAAGGATCGAAACTCTAGGCTCACAGGCTAGCCGCTTCCGGTAGTGTTCAATAAAGCGTACACCTGGAGCACGGTGGAAAAACATTACTGTCTGCGATATCCTGCGATCACCGCCTCAAAGAATCAGTGCTGCATATTGTTTCATATCTTTAAAGCATACATTATCACACATTACGACAAATGACTATAGCCAATCCAGCTTGTGCAGTACATTTGTTTCGAAGTAGTTTCGGCGGCTGTGGTGTACTACGCGGTCTACATGAAATTATTCAATAGAGTTTGCCCAGCCGTAGCACCTTACATGAGTAGCCCGAGTAGCCCCGTGCCCGTGTTTCAAACACTGGGGATGTTGTTCGTTCAATTCCTTAGCAAGCTGGGTTAAGGGCACCCAACCCACGATGCTTTCTCCGAGAAACCATCTGGCTGTTTGGCCCACCCCAAAACCCAACCCCAAACACCCCAACCTTCCCAAAGCTCCCCGAGTTGTGTCAAAACCCATCCTGCATGGAGTTGGAACAAAGGGGCCTTTCCTGATCACTTTCCTCTACCAGGATCTACCAGGTGGTTCCATGAATGTGGAGACCACGACTCGACGACCATCTGGACCTATTCAAACCTACCAAAAACCTCGATAGACACCACCGCGATGACGGCCATGGCCTGGATTCCCGTGATAGCGGAGGATCTTGAGCTCTGCCGGCCTCGGTGCTACAAAAACTAGACGACAGGGTGGCCCGAAAGCAAGTAGGCGGAAGAGAACAAATAGAAGGGAAGAAAAGCGAAGTAACAGAAGATGAATGAGCACTAAAGAAATGAAGAGATGATATATGATGATTCAAAACATTAAGATGAAACAAAATGAGATGATGATGAGATGACACAATATATAATATATATATATCTATATATATATATATACATTATGATTATGATACTATTATCACGTTATTACCAAATCTATTAATGTATATTCTGTTGCACTGTACTTCGGAGCCCAAACGGTAGTCCCGGTCGATTCTTTTTTATCCAGCGCCGGTCGAGCTCAAACGCTAGTCCCGGTAGTAAGAGCCGCCGAAGTGTGCGAAATCGCACGTCCCAACCTGGCATCAGGACAACCAATGCTCATACAAATGCAACACTTGAAAAACAAAACAAATTACCCACAGTTCAACTCATGTTGTTTTGTCGGTTATCAGATATAGTTGCACACCCAGTCGGAACAGGATCGACTTCGAACAACTCTCGGTCGTGGATCTCGTGCCTTGTGGAGTCTCTGCACGTTCAGCTGGAACAAGGGTCGACTTCGGACAACTTCCGGTCGTGGACCCAGGTCCTTCTAATCAGTTTGGTCACGACACTTTGCAATAGCCAATTCACAGCTTTTCGCCGATACTTGTAACTTCGTGGCTGGTGACTATATGTGGCATCGACATGCCGGCCTCCTGGAATTCCATTGCGTGGTGTCCACTTTCATTTGGTCCCACTTGTTGCCGCTCAACCTGTTCAAAAGACTCAATGTCTCTGGAAACGAAACTGGTCTTTCAGGTCAAATCACAACAAGCAAAGAATATCATTCAAGTCCAACAATCGAACAAAAAAAAGATGTCTATAGAGCTCTGTTTGCACAATTTTATCGGTTATCAGGTATATTCGCGCACCCAGTCGGAACAGGATCGACTTCGAACAACTCTCGGTCGTGGATCCCGTTCCTCATGGGGTCTCTGCACATTCAGTCGGAACAAGGGCCGACTTCGAACAACTTCCGGTCGTGGACCCAGGTCCTTCTAGCCAGTTTGGCCACGAATTCACAGCTTTTTGTCGACACTTTGGTCACGACGTTTCAAATTCCCAACGCCAGGCACGCTTGTGATGCTCCAAGGATCGCAGTGCATACAAGACATATGCTCGTCGCTTCCACGGTCTCAGGCTTGGACGCTGCTGGAGCACACAGTCAATGGCATCCTCGACACTGAGATCCCACCAGATCACCAGCCAGGCGCAAAGCGCCAACGCCACTGATCTATGTATAAAGATACGTTTGGTTCATGAACCCTACCGACCACACGGATCGGATTCTGCCGACCGTCGATCGAGAATAAGCGAGTCCACTTGCCTTCGAGCCATACGACACAAAGGTCAATGATGCTGATCATGTTAAAAGCTGTCACCGTCATGATGATGCCAACAAAGGAAAAAATTCAAGCAGCTGTAACAACAAATCTGATGCTGATCATGCTAAAGCCGTCACCGTCATGCCGATGCAAACGACGGAAAAAATCCAATCAGCTACAATAACACATCGAGTCAGCTGGGTCTATTTCAAGCCAAGTATACAAATACAACACAACCTGAAACACATGTAACTCTCATGCCGTGAAAGAAAATATGACATGACATCAAATATGAAAATATGATGTGCCATGAGATGATGATCTCACGATACGCCCGTGATATGCTATTGTGATCATGAGCCAACGATGAGGTCGATGACGATTGCAATGACGTAGCTGCTGGTAATGATGATGATGATGATGATGATGGTGCTGACGACGATGATGATGATAATGATGATGATGATGATGATGTGGATGATAAGGATGATGATGATGATGATGCTGATGATGATGATGATGATGAAGGTGATGATGATGATGATGATAATGATGATGATGGTGCATGTCGCCAGGCACGGTTTACACCACACGTTGTTTACGCCAGACGAAGTAACCATGGAAAAGTTTACACCAGACAAAGCCGACAAAGGTTTACACCAGAGAAGAGTTTACACCAGACATCGATTACACCAGACACCGTCTATACACCAGACACGGTTTACACCAGACGTCGTTTACACCAGACAAGGCCAACAAAGGTTTACACCAGAAAGAGTTTACAGCAGAGACAGTTTACACC